CTTGATCTTATAACATGTAAATTCTACATATTGTAACAAGTAATTCCATTTTTATATAGGAAAATTAGAATTTTAGATCATAATGCAAATCTATAAATTTTGGACTGCTGTTATTTTTATGACTCTATCTTAAATTCAAAGAATTCCTTATTATAAAGTCTTTTTTTTTAATGCTATTTTGTCTATTGAGTTGTTTACTCATGATTTTAAAAATAATTGTGGGTCTGGCTCTATAGAGCAGCACCTGAGAACTGTGCAAATGGAGTCAGATTCCACATGGTCTTACATGGTTTGCATACCAGCCCCAGCAGCTTGAAAAACATGCCAGGTATACACGTGTGCCCAGGAACCTGACAGGGACTGGGAGAACAAAGGAATGTGCTATGACCAGGATGCACTTAGGGGTGCTCTCTCTCTCACTCCCTCTCCCTCTCTCACACACACACACACATCCTATGGTATTAAAAAAATTGTAGTTGTCAGTATTACTACGTAATTTTTGAAGTATTATTTCCATGACCACAAGGAGGCAATATTAATTAGTTCCATATGAAACTCCATTACACAAATGTATACCTTGTGGCTTAACATTTGTTAATGAATATGACCTTTTATGGCCCTGTTTTCATTTACTTCTCTTTGCTAGCTTCTGTTACTACTCAGGAAAGAGCTCCTGAACCTGCTAAAGATACTAAATATTTAATTATATTCTTATCTGGTGTATTTGATGTCAGAATTGTATTGTTTGCCTAATTGAGATGGCAATCTATGGAAATAAGGACCTTATGTCTCAGATGTATTAGAGTAAATATGTTTAGGCCTTAGAAGATAGCTAGCCATTTGTGAAGTGGAGAACAGAAAATGAAAACATAACCCAATCTGACTCTTTGATGTGTTCTTGCAATTTCTAATTATGACATAGTATTTTTATAAAGGCCTTAAAAATGGCATCTCATTCCTTTCTTTATCTTCTTCAGCACATCTAAAATGTGATTGCTATTATTTCTTCTTTTGTAAAAGATTGGGCAAGGTGGTAATTTTTGTTGTTGTCTTCTAAAACTAACATTAAACTAACACATGAAAATATTGATAAATAAGCCAAAGAAGTTGACATAACACAGGGACATATCTAATGTAAAGAACCTTCCTTAAGAGCTATACTGTGTGTGTGTGTGTGTGTGTGTGTGTGTGTGTGTGGTATTTTTTTAGGTAGACTCTCTGGGGCCGCTGGTAGCGCTGTGGTTAAGGGTGCTGGACTCCCACATGGACAACCATGGTTCGAGTCTTGGACCTGGCAGCTTTGCTTTCTCACTTTCTCACTTTATCTCTCTCTCTGTCCTCCTCTGGTCAAATTAAAATAAATAAATAAATAAAGTTAAATAAAATAATTCTTTAAAAAAAAAAAGATAGATTCTCACTATGTGGTGATCCTCCTGCCTCTGTCTCCTGATTCACTGGGAACACAGGCACTCACCACCACACCCAGTGTTTTAGGGCTGGCCAAGAATCAAGCCTAGGCCTCCCATGTGGCTTCAGCCAGTCAAGCATTCAGCACATGCTGCTGTGACTAAGCCAAAAGGTATACTTTTTTTAGAGAGAGATTTTTGTTACAGGCGTGTGCACTCACAGGAGAGACAGAAAGCGAGAAATCACCCCCTGGGTGGGGCAGGGAATGGCCACACCACAATCCCTTCTCCTTCATTTTCTGCTTGGGATTTTGGGCATGAAAGCACACGTGCCCGGCATGAGTTTTAAGCTGCCTGGTCCAGGACTGAAAGTGCAGTCAACTAAGTGAGAGTCCAGCGACATAACCTTTACACCATCTGTTGGTCCCAAAGTATACTTTTTAAAAACGTTTGTTTGTTTGTTTGTTTGTTTATTTATTTATTTATTTATTTATTTATTGAGTCAAAGAGACAAATGGCACCCTCAACTTGTTCTTGACATCATGATTCATCCTCAGCCAGCCCTGGGTCACGGGTACTTGCGTGCATAGCTTACCAAGGAGGTTTCTAGATGCAAACTGGGAACCTTCCCCTGTAGGTAAACCTCGCAAAGCATACTGAGCTACCACCATGCCACTGTCCAGCCTCCGTTAGATATACTTTTTCTCTGGTTTCATTGCTCTAGTTCAACCCCGTGAAAGGTGAAAACTTGGGGTGGGAGGAAGACTCAGTCCAGTTCTGCAGGTAACTATTTTTGTGGCAAAGATAGATATAGTCCTAAAAGACAGGCTGTTATTTATTATAACATAACTTTATGGATTATGAAAGGAAGGTATAAAGGAACTAGTTTTTTATTTGTTTGTTTGTTTGTTTGTTTGTTTGTTTGTTTGAATTTGCCAGAGGGCACATGCACTCAGTGGAAAGAGAGAGGGAGGGGAAGGGAGAAAGTATCTTCCGCTGGGGATAGTGATGCCACAATCTCTTCTCCATGCTTCCCTCTTATTGGGATTCCAGACATACATGTGCGAGTGAGTGCATGTGCACACCCCCAGTGTGTTTTTCAAGCCACTGGGTCCTGGATTCAAACTACACAGTTAGCCATGTGGAATCCAGCAGCCCTACCACGACTGACCACCATACCATGACTAACCTTCTTTTTCTTCCCTAAGGATTTTACCATCTCACAATCCTGCCACCTGAGCCTCCAAGGTATGTGCCATCATATCAGACTCTTTTCTAGACAGCTTCTCCCTATGTTGCTCAGGGTAGCCTTGATCTTATCATCCTCTTCTTTCAGCATCACTAAACACTAGGATTACAGGCACATGCCACTGCACCCAGCCATCCGGTTAGACCAGGAACTGAGTCTGGGCTTCCCATGTGGCCCCAGCCTTCAGAGCACAGCGTCTTTGTGTGTGCCATTGTAACGACCCTGGAAAGGAATTCTTACTGAGGTAGGAGAGATTTCTGGGAAAGCCTTTTGGAAAAAGTGCTACTTGAATTGAGTCTTGAAGAAGTATGTAGTTTTTCTTTTTCTTTTTTTTTTTTTAAGAGATTTTTGCTGTAAGGCGAGTGTGTTCGCCGAAGAGACAGAAAGACAGAAATCAAGAAATCACCTCTCAGCAGGGGGGTGGCCATGACATAGTCCCTTCTCCTCCATTCTGCTCTCAGGATTTTGGGCACACAAACACATACACCTGTTATGAGTTTTAAGCTGCCAGGTCCAGGACTCAAACCATGGTCAACTACATGGGAGTCTAGTGATACAACCATTATGTCATCTGCTGGTCCTGAGAATATAGTATTTCAACAAGTGAATTTTGAAAATGATAAGTGCCATTCCACCGTGAGAGAACCGTGTGAGTAAATGAAATTAAACAGCTCTGTCTTATTGACACTATGTGCTAGGTTTTTATATGCATTAACACACTGAATTCCAAATAGTACTATGAAATAAGTACCAATACCTGAATTTACAGGTAAGAGAAGCGAAGTTCGGCGAGGTTGATATGGGCAAGGTTACATAGATGATGGATTCTGGAGCAGGGAGGGGCTATCTGCTAGACTCAAAATGAGATGGTGGGACTGGATTCCAGCCCATTCAGGAAATGGCCAGTGGAACTGTAGGTGTGAGGTACAGGACTGAAGTAAAGCTTAGGTAGTGTTTCTCATATGCTGAATCACAGGAGGCACTTGTTTAAAACACATTTCTAGGTTTCGCCTAGGAACTCCTGATCCCTTGACATGGCGAAACTTCAAATGATGTGTATTTCACATGTCCCAGGTGATTCTTTTCATCAGGCAAGTTAGACACAATTGATTGATTTAAGACATATGAATAGCAGGAAATAAAGCACCCAACTCCTAACTGGTGCTCGATTGTAGAATTGGATTTTCTTTTAAGTTTGCCAAACGGCATGGGTGCTCTGCAGAGAGAAACAAGATGGGTGGGGAGTGCTGGGCATGCTGAAATCAGGTCTCCTATATTTCTCCCTCTTTTCAGGATTTGAGGCATGTAAACACATGCGCTTTGGTGTATTTTTCAAGCCACAGGTCCGGGAATCAAATATTTTCCGTGTTGTTTGACATTTAGTTTTTCACTTTTACAAATTTAACGTATTTTACTTGCATCTCTTATTTATAGACTAGGTCTCACATAGTTGAATTACTGGGTCCTCAGGAGGAAATTTAACCAGTAAATGATGACTTGGGTTCTTTTGTGGGTGGGTTTGATGCCTATCAGTCATGTACTGGCTAACAAGATGCATAGCCTCTCTAAACCCATTCTTTATTTTAATGTAGAAAATATATTTACTTCACGGCATGTATGATGCTTAGTACAGCACAGTAGGAATACCTATTTACAAACAGTATGTATATGAATAAGCCTAACAGAGGAAGTAGGCTGATTTGTTTTTTTCAATGTAGCTGTATTTTTTACTTACAAAAAATACTTAATTCACAAAGGACAGGCAGAAATCACCTATTTATATTTCCAACTTCAGGAATGAGACCACTTCATCGAATTATAAAATGTTGAATTAGAAAGTGAATATAGAGTTGATTTCACAATATTGCCCTCCTCCCCTTGAAGCGTTGTGCAGCACCAGCTTTAGAGAACTGTAAAAAGGTTTGCAAGTCACACACACACACAGAAACACAGAGAAACAACAGAGCGTATTCACTTTAACACCTAGAGTGCATTGTTCAAAAGCGTCCATTTCCTGCAAAAATCTAGCGATCTTAAGGGAAGCTGGGAGTAGTTTACTTCAAGAGAAATCCAGGCTGAGCGCTTCTAAGATTTGGGTAGTTGGCTGTTCGGCATAAAAACACAGGACCAAGTGCAAATTGTAAAATAAGCAAGTATTGGGAGAAAAAGGGACGAAACCCAGTAGGCCTCCGCCTGTTCATATAAATTGTGCTTTTTCCAAGGAGTGTTTAGGGGAGGTAAGCCGTGAAGTTTTAGCTTCTTCCATTGCTCAGAGACGCCCTACTCGAAATTTCAGCTCATTGGCTCTTTTCAGTTCTCCCAGGAAAGCTTCCCCGTCTCCCTGGCAACCCTAGAGTCCACCAATTGCAGCAAAGGACTCGTGGTCACGTGGCCTCTTCCTCTCCCGAGGAGAGTCAACATGGCGGCTTAGCGAGCTGTAGCTGCAAGATTTGAATTAGTCCACTTGTTGCGGCATCCCACGGATGGCGTCTGCGGCCGTGTGCGATCCGCGTCGGAGCCCATACGAGCTCCCCGGGGACGCTTCTTCACAGGAAGATGAGGACTGCGTCTCCTCCGCGAGCAGCGATTATGAGTAAGGTTCCCGAAGAGGAGCAGTTAAATCCACCCCTTCCACTCTGCGAGTGTACACGTGGGCTGGGGAGACGGCGGGGGTGTTGGCGTGGTTAAGGTTGAGTATTTGAGAGTCTCCAATGAGTGGGATTTATTTACGCCACGTTTCAATTGCGTGGTGGTGTGAGCCGAAAGGACGATGCCATTCTTCTCTCCTGTAGGTGTTTTATGGTTCTAAGACGAGGCGAGTCTCCTCTTCGCAGTGGTGGGTTCAATGGTGTAAGAGATGTACCTGTTAGAGTGTTCATAACCTCTTTGTTCCTGTAGCGATGTGTTCATGCTTCTCTCGTGTTAAGATTTTTCTTTAATTTACCTCTTGAGTATTTATAGTGGAAAGACACCCTATACATTTTATAAGGCAATTACTTAAATTATGTATTTATCTTCCCTGTTACAGAAACGAATACAAAACAGAAAGAATGTCCACCCATAATCTCACCATCACAAGCAACCTCTCATCATTTCTGGGTATTTTTGCTGTATTTTCCTGAGCATCTCTATGGTCTCCTATTGTCTTATTTTTTTTTTTTTTCTATAGGACATTTGCTCCCTGGAGACAGAGAGAGAGAGAGAGAGAGAGAGAGAAACAACACCCCAGGGGTGTGTGTGGCCATGATGCATCCTCTATTCTCTTCACAAGATTTTTTTTGAGCACACACTCATACCAGAGTTTTTTTCCAAGCTGCAGGTTCCAGACTGGAACCTCACAGTCGGCCATGTGGGATCCAGCTGCCTTAACCTCCACACCACCGGCTGGCCTGTCAGAATTTAATTTTTAAAATACAGATATATGTGTTACTTCACCTTTAAAAAAATTATTTCATGAGTGTACACTCCCTATGGCAAAAACCTTTTAAAAAATTATTTCTTTATGAGACAGATACCGATTTTTGACAGGATCCTCATGCCCCAGTCTCTCAGCTAGGACCACGAGTGCAGACCACAGCACCCTCCCTACCTGTTTGAGTTGGGCCAGAACCAAAGCCAGCCTCCCACGTGGGCTCACTCTTGAAGGAACAGCTTCCCAGCCGAGCCTAGTTTCACTTTTTTATCCTTGATAATTCCATGAAAAAGTTATTTTGATTCCTAGTACCCATTTTTACTCTACTTTTGAAAGAATATATCCTTTTCATTTTTTTGGAGAGGTTTTTAATACAGGCACGGGCGCTCACCAGAAAGACAGAGACAGAGAGACAGAAAGCAAGAAATCACCACTCCCCCCGCTTCCCAAGGGGGGATGACCACACTGCAATCCCTTCTCCTCCAGTCTCCTCTCTGGATCTTGGGCACGCACTCACATGCGCCCAGCGTTGAGTTTAAGTCACCGGATCTGGGACTCGAACTGTGGTCGACTACATGGGAGTCCAGCAACATAGCCATTGTGCCAACTGCTAGTCCTAAAAGAATATATCCTTTATTGCTGTAGATTAAGAACTTTTTGGAAAGGCCAGTTAGTGGTAATTGAAGTGAATAACTGACAGTGGTTTAGGTGCCAAAACCACCAAAATATTTTGTGAATTTATGTGTTATGTTTTAGTTGCTTTTAAAAAATTGATCATTGGGACCAGCAGTTAGCGTAATGGCTATGTCGCTGGAATCCCACGTAGTCGACCGCGGTTCAAGTCCCGGACCCGGTGGCTTAAACTCATGCCGGGCGCCTGTGCGTGCGTGCCCAAGATCCCGAGAGGAGAATGGAGGAGAAGGGATTGCGGCGTGGCCATCCCCCCTGGGGGGTGATTTCCTGCTTTCTGTCTCTCTGTCTCTCTCTGTCTGTCGAGCGCACGCGCCCTATAGCAAAAACCTCTCCAAAAAAAAAAAATTGATCATTAAGCTTTCTTCATCTTTCATTCTCTAATCAATCTAATTGTTCTATTGTGTTTATCTTGTAGTAAAAGTGCAGTAAATCCCTAACGTAAAATCTTTGCTGGTATGTATTTGGAGTCCTACCAAGATTCAGTTTATGTATTTCTTTTCTTATATTGGGACATGAAGGTTGATTTAGTGACCTGACCAGGAAATTTTATGTTCTATTCCCACTTAGGACATTAGATGTTTACCTCCCTAAGGTGCAGTCACCAGTGAAAGCGGTGGGCTTCCCAGCTTGGACAGAAACACTCATTCTGGAATCAAAGACATAAGGATTCAAACTTCAATCTTTCTCCTCAAAGCAAAGAGATATGAATTGTCTGTCATCTTTCATGGCTTACTAGAATCTTACTAAAGAAGTTCTACTACATATTCATTCCATGTATCCTGAACTTTCAACATTCTATTTAGTTATTAAAAAGCATGTTATTTTGGGAAGTTATCATCGTTTTATATTTGCTTTATAACTAAAAAGTAGTTTGAGCTGCATGTTAATGGCAATTCAAAATTAATAAATATCATTTGGGGGATAAAATTACTTTAGGATACTGGGGTAGTTCTTTTAAACAGGCTTATTTTAGGCTTGTTATAGGAAAGACAGATTTTAGACTGTTGCAGTGTCTCTTAAGCTGGCACACCGGCATGTACTTGGGGAGACTTTAGGGATAATTCTGGTGAGTGGATGGAGTTGAGGGAACCATTGACTAGTTTCAGTGTTGCGATAAGGGAAATCATAACATTTATTTGCAATAATGCCAAGTTTCTTTGCTTTGGTCTATGATTATCCAATGCACTGAAGCAACATGAGTTACTTCGAGTTGGTCAGAAGTTGTCAATTTTATGACTTAGATTTTAATTTTTCAAAGTGAATTCTTTTTCTGTTATGTTAGTTTTAGAAGTATGGCTGAGTGTCAGCCACAGTGGCATAAGCAGAAGGATGTTGTACTACGATGGAGGCTGCATGAGTCTCGGGTTCAGTTCTTGGCCCAACCTAAACAATTCCGGTGTGGTGGTACACACTTGTCATCCTAGGTAACTTAGAAAGCTGGGGCAAAACTGAAAAAAAAAAAAAAAAAAACCCACACACAATCTCAATTTCACTCTTGTGCTTCTTCATCCCAAGCTTGCTCTCCCTCTTTCTCTCTTTCTGTCTGTCATAAAACAAACAAAAGCTTTAGCTAATGGAGAGAAAAAAAAAATTTAAAACAGATTTTAGCTGTAAAAAGTTAAGTTAAGTAACTTCTACCTAAAACAATAGATGACTGGAGAAGAAAGGAAATATGAAGTTTGTTTTGGTGCAAAAAAAATAAGGTTTCTGAAATCCACACATTTTTTTTCATAATATGCACTTTCCATTAACTTTTTGAAGACCCCCCCACCTATGTTTAAATTTTTTTTTTCTGGGATTGTGTAACAGCTTTATTGAAGCATAGTTGCTATAAAAAAAAACCCCACATATATTTAAAGTGTACCATTTGATAAATTTGACAATACTTATGTCAAGATAATGAATATATTCATCTTGGCCTAATTTTTCTCCATAGTGCCTCCTCAAGACCACTCATTGCCTCCTCAGTCCTCACAACCACATAATCTGCTTTCTGTCAGATTTTTCTGTGAGTTTGTATTTTCTAGAGTTTTATAAAAATGGAATCATGGGCCAGTTCGTGGCTTGGTGGTTAAGGGAGTTGGATCCCACATGGTTGACTGCACTTAAAGTCCCAGCTCCAGCCACTTGAAAACACTCTGGGCAGATGTGCATGCATGTCCAAAGTCCTGACAGGATGGAGAAATGGAAGAGAAGACATTGTAACATGACCATGCCCCATTGGGGGATGTTTCCTCCCTCTCTGTCCCTCCGTGTACCCTCTGGCAATTAAAAAGAAAATGAATCCTATGAAGTGGACTCTTTTTGTCTGGCTTCTTCTACTCAGCTTAACTATTTTGAGATTCATCCATGTTGTTGCCTATATCAGTAACTCATCCTCCCCCCTTGAGGGGAGGCAGAAGTCTATTGATGCATATATGAAAATTTGTATTTTTCCTATTCCTGGGGACATACTACTTGAAAAATCAGTCACTCAAACTTATGATGACATAGTATTTTTAAAAGTTATTTATTTTTAATTTTATTCATTCATTCATTCATTCATTTTAACTTGACCCGAGAGACAGCGAGAGAGAGAATGCAAGAAAGCCACCAGGTCCAGGACGCAAACTGTGGTCGCCCACATGGAAGTGTCCAGCACCTTAACCACTAGCCACCTGCTGGTCCACTTATGATGCCACAGTATTAACATCCAACTTAAACATGCTGGAAATGGTGGTACATACCTGTCATCTTTGCTGAGAGGCTGGGGTATGATGATTGTAGCATAGAAAGACCCTGTTGAAAATACCTTATCTCAGGCCAGCAGATCGTGTGGTGTTAAGGCAGGTGGATCTCATGTGGCTGATTCTGCAGTTCAGGTCCCAGACTTGGTGGCTTGAAAAACATGCCAGGCATGTGTGCATGCATACCCAAAATCACTAGAGGAGGAACAGAGAGTGTAGCATGGCCATCCCTGTGTGTGTGTGTGTGTGTGTGTGTGTATGGAGGGGCATGTTTTCTCACTTTGTCTGTCTCTCTCTCTACTACATGCCCTATAGAAAAAGAAAGAAAGAAATCTCTCTCTCTGTCTCTCCCTTCCTCTATGTTTCCTCTTCCTCATACAAATAAGAGGCCAGAATGTAACGTGGTTGTTCAAGGCACTGGATTCCCAACAGCTGAATGCAGTTCGAGTCTCAGACCCAGTGGCTTGGGGATATTGCCAGTGCGTGTCTGTGCACATGCATGCCCATAACTCAAAAGGAGAATGGAAGAGAAGGGATTGCAGTATGGCCATCCTCCCTAGGGGGCAATTTCTTGCTTTCCCTCTCTGTCTCTCTCCAGAGAGTGCATGTGCCATATGACAAAAAAAAAAAAAAAAAATTTAAAAAAAAAAAAAAAAAAAAGAAGAAGAAAGAGAAGCAGACTGGTACTTAGTGAACAAGATCCAGATTGGTCATATTAATTTGCCAAGATGTTTTTATTGTGCATAGTTTTCTCTTCCCTAG